CCACCCAAGCCTGCTGAGTGAATGAGAATTTCTGCCTCACATTTGGGAACCCCAGAACCACCCCAAGCCCAGGCCCGGCAAGTGTGTGAGAGAGCTTCTGACTCCAATGGGAACTCTCTGGACCAAAACCCAAAACCCAGGCACATCACTTGAGTGAGACCCTCTGCTGCACACTCAGGACCCCTCCAACCTTCCACAGCCCATCTTCCAAGCCCACCAAGTGAATGAGAACTTCTGCCGCACCCTTGGGACCCCTCAGACCCAGTCCAAGCCCAGGCCCTGCTAGTGTGTGGGAAAGCTTCTGCACTCCCCTGTAGCCCCTGGGCCAGGGGCACAACAGGTTTACTTCCAAGGGCTACATCAGGAAGGAGCTGAGCACAACAGCTAGACCCAAACCAGGCACAACCAGATAAACTCAAACTTAACAGATCTGCACCCGAATTTCAGTAAGTGCTAAGGTTATAACTGCACCAAAGCTCTACGCCAAAGGTCAGAGGACAGTGATATACGAAACAACAAAGAGAAGGAGCAAAATGTAATGTCAGGCCTCAAGCCCACAGAGAACAAGTGCAGAGGTCACTAGCTCAGCTGAAATATATGAATAGCGTCTGAAGTAAAGAAACAGCAGCAGAAAGGTATAGAGAAACTCAGATCAGAATTAGTCTCTGAAATATAAAAAGAAATCTCTGAATTAATAGGGTCTGAAGTAAAGAATCAAATGCAGAAACCTATAGAGGAAATCAGATCAGAAATAATCTCTGAAGTAAAAGAATAACTGCTTATCAAGAAGACACTGATAAAAAAAAATAGAGATTGGAAAAGTGACAGATTCCTTGAATGAGCAATACAGAAAAGAAATAGATTGCATGAAGCAGAGTCAAAGAGATATAGAGGAACTTAAAATTTCAATCACAAGCTTGCAAAACTGATTGAGTGAAAGTGAAGATAAGAGTTTCAGATCTTGAAGACTCTGACACAGCTAGTGAAAAGGTAAGAAAAGATCTCTTAAAAACAACTAGGATGCAGGAAAAAATACATCACCTGCAAGACAATGCAAAGATGAACAATGTAAGACTAATAGGCATCAATGAGAAAGGAGTCAATACAAATGATATAAAAAGAATATGGGCAGAAGTAATAGCAAAAACTTCCCCAGGAAGCAATCGGACATTCAGGTAACTTAAGCATACAGAATGCCAAATAACCTCAACCCAATTAAAAACACACCGAGACATAATAGTCAAGATCCCAGAAATCCAGCACAAGAATAATATACTGAAAGCCGCTAGAGAAAAGAAATAGATCACATTTAAAGAAAACCCCAGAATAAAGGCAGATTTCTCTTCACAAACCATGAAGGCAAGAAGAGCATGGGGCAGAGTACTTCAAATCCTCTATGAAAAAAATTCCAGCCCAGACTACTATACCCTGCAAAACTCTCTTTCAAGTTTGATGGAGAAGTGAAATACTTCCATGACAAAGAACTAAA